ACATCTGGATCAGGATCAGAGCACCCAGAGCACAAGGATTATTCACAGTCACTAATAATCAATTCCCAGTTAGCACGTTAGAGAGACAGCTCCTCAGCCCACACGTTTGATAAACACCAGTGCTGGCCGGCACTCTCACATGTCACCGTCAGAGTGAAAACATTTGTTTCTGGAAGCCACTTTACAGCAAAATTAATTCTTAAAATGTGTGCATTCTAATCCCCACAAACTTCACTGCTTGCAGTTTATTCTGTAGAAACACTTGCACAAGCAAGTGTGTGAAACCCAAGCACCGATAATGAAAGACGGAGCCGTGACAAGACACACACGTGCTCCTCACTAGTCTTCCTGTGCGTCACATGCAGCGACTGTGAGGACAAGGGCGGAGAGCAGGCCCCTGGCTGGGACTCAAGACCCAGAGAGAGGCAGTGAGCGCCCGGAAGTTCCTTTTTGCTCCTCAGGTCCCACGGGTGCTGGAGAGGCCAACACACTGAACACACCCAGAGGTGCGGCCAGAACTGCCCTCCGAGAACCGGGAGACCTGCTCTGCCCAGGCAGCTGCCAGGGAACCGCCCCCCAGCACAGGAAGCTGGGACCCTGGACCCCAGCCCCACCCAGCCGGACCCTGGACCCCAGCCCTGCCCGGCCATAATGAAGCCCCCCACCCCTTCCCCGTGAAATATCGCCCTGGCCAGTTTCTCAGTGGTTAGAGCATCGGCCCCTGCACCGAAGGGTCTTAATTCCCAGTCACGGGCACGAACCTCAGCAGGAGGCAGCCGATCAGTGTGTGTCTGACATCGAAGTTTCCCTCTGTCTCTCCCGACTCCATCTAAACAATAAGTTGTGGAATATCCGCTCAATGACATATTGCTCAGTAACAGAAAGGGATGAACTGACACGGGAACACCACGGGTAAATCTCAAAACCACTCGCCAGGGTCGCGAGGCCAGACAGAGCCCCTCCCGCGGGTTCTGGGCCCTCGGAGCCGACGGGGTGTCTCTGGCTGTGAGAAACAGTCGGACCTGAGTCACGAAGCTCACGGAGCAGGGAGAGCTGTCTGGGGGTGGGGCGGCCGCACGGGTGTCACTCACCTGCCCTTGATCTGCCGGTGCAGCAGCCGCCCGGAGACCTGCTTGTGCTCCGGGGTCTCGGCCACAGTCCTGGTCAGCAGCCTGGGGTGCCCTGCAAGGCGAGCAGCACGGGGTCCCTCAGACACAGCCGGTCCCCGGCCACAGGGACCTCGGGGCTGTGGATGGAGGCCTGACCCCAGGGCCCCACGTCACAGCTTCTCACCACTGTCAGAGGCTACAGAGCACGTAAGCCGATGGAAGTGTGAAATGTTCCCCCAATAAGCAGTGCTGAGCAATGAACTCACCGATTGCCACTAACACAGATGTGCACCTAGATGGTGGCTCTTGTGTTTACGATTAAAGTGACAATGCTGATGGGCCATGTGAATGCTGATAGTTAATAAAGATAAATCTAGCCACATCAATTTTCTCAGTACAAGCTACTCACGGGAAGACTGGTTTTAACAGTTAAAAATGACTAAAATGAGGAGTGGTACCCAGCTGGGCGTGGCTCAGTGGTTAAGCACTGACCTATGAACCAGGAGGTCAGGGCTCAATTCCCAGTCAGGGGCATGCAGAAGGCAGCCAATCGGTGATTCTCATCATTGATGTTTCTCTCCCTCCCTGAAATCAATAAAAATATATTTAAAAAAGAAAGAAAAGGAGTGGTGTCAGCAGGACTGTGGGTAAGGACGTCTAAAACCTCCATAAAGGAATGAGACCGCCGGCAAAAATGGCCAAAGTCAGCTTCTCCAGACTGGACACTAACCATGAGCAACAGTCCAGGGAGTGTTTATTCAAAACGGCCGCTCTCAGGACGGCGGGCTCTGTGGACCTTACCCAGCTTGTCCCCCGCCTGCCCCCAGCCCCCAGGAAGCCGTGAGATCAGGGGCCGCACCCCGTGGGAACCAGCGGCCTGTCAGCCCATTTGCCAGGCGCCGGGAGGCAGAGCCGGTGGTGGGCAGAGAGCAGATGGAAGGAGCCCAGAGCTCAGCGTTGCTGCTTGAGAAACAGAGAAAGAGGAAAATGAGACTCAGGGGGCGAGTCCTGGGGCTGGAGCTTGAGGGGCCTGTGGGGAGTGGAAGGAGGGAAGTGGAGGAGGCCCGAGGACTGTGAGGTTCAGGGGGGCCCAGCTGTGCTCCCTGCGAGGCCACACGAGGGCGCAATCGTTCCATTAACGACTGGCAGCTGGACTGCAGCCTTAGGGGAGCCCCCAAAGTGGGGAACCCCCAAACAAGGGGCCCCTGGCTATGGAATGGAGTTGGTGGAAGATGGAACTAGCCTCCTCTGTCCCACAGGCAGCTCCCCAGCAGCCCCCCTGCCTCCTGGGTGGGGACACCTGTGCTCAGCTGCCTCAACTTACTCTCACGAGAACGCAGCTGCTGCTCCTGCCAAGACAAGTCCCGGACGGTGCGGCCCGCTCCCGGTGTCAGGGATGCGTCTAATCCTGTCCCGCCAAAGGGAAACTGAGGCCCGGTCAGGGACAGCCAACACATGGGCAGAGCCAGGCTCCGGACCCGGGGGAGTGCTCCCCGCCTCCCTCCCTCCCTGCTCTCAGGGTGTGAGCTCTGCTGGGGGACCCCTTGCAGGCTGGGAGGAGCCCTCATGCTTGATGTGCACACAGACGCTCCCTGACAGACCCAGTCACCCAGACACACCCCTGGCTCATGCGGACCCTCACGTGCCCATGCAAGGGTGCAGGGAGGGATGCCAGTCCAGACGGTCCGCCCCCGTGGCCACTCACAGCCCGGCTCCAGCTCGCTGGCCCTCCCTCTCTGTCCCTGTATCTCCATTTTCAGCTCAAGAATCACACCAGGCACCCCTCCCGCACCGTCTGCCCCAGAGGCCGGAACATGCCTCACGCTGGGTGTATACTGACCCCCGAGACCAGCAGAACTCCAGGCTCAGGGCCAGTCCCTGACCCGGGAAGGCCCAGCTGGTCCTGAGCCCCTAGCCCTGCCCAGGACCCTCTGGGGACCAGGAGGCAGGGGCTGGAGGGGGAGGAGCCAGCCCTTCCTGGGAGAGGACACTGGCCAGTCTCCCCTTCTGCCGGTACAGGACGGCCCCTGAGCACCGCCTCCCACGGGGCGCTCGGAGGGGGGCATGTGTTATGTGGCCACAATCCCCAGAGGTGCACCAAGGACTGGCACCCCTTCCCACACTCTTCCCCCACCTGACTCCCCCTCCTTGCCATCCATCTCAGTGCGGGTCTTCGGGGTCAGCACACCAGGCCTGTAGGGGTGGTGCTGAGAGCCTGCGGGACATCCGGCACCCGAGTCACCTTTGTGCCTGTCCCAACCTGTCATCCCCCAGCACAGACAGCCACTGCCTCAGCACCACCTCCAGGGAGGCCTCGGCCCCGCAGCCGAGGCGAGGAGCAGCGATGAGGCGGTTCCACCCAGACCCAGACCCAGATCCAGACCTGTGGTCTCTCCCCTCAAGTCTTCATTATGGCATCTGATCTTCGACTTTTGACCTCCCAGCTCCGATCCTTGCCCCTGATCAGGAGATGAGGCGGTTCCACCCCAGACCCCAGACCCAGACCCGTGGTCTCTCCCCTCAAGTCTTCATTATGGCATAAGGGCATGTGTTATGTGGCCACAAGCCCCAGGGGTGCACCCAGGACTGGCACCCCTTCCCACACTCTTCCCCCACCTGACTCCCCCTCCTTGCCATCCATCTCAGTGCGGGTCTTCGGGGTCAGCACACCAGGCCTGTAGGGGTGGTGCTGAGAGCCTGCGGGACATCCGGCACCCGAGTCACCTTTGTGCCTGTCCCAACCTGTCATCCCCCAGCACAGACAGCGACTGCCTCAGCACCACCTCCAGGGAGGCCTCGGCCCCGCAGCCGAGGCGAGGAGCAGCGATGAGGCGGTTCCACCCAGACCCAGACCCAGATCCAGACCTGTGGTCTCTCCCCTCAAGTCTTCATTATGGCATCTGATCTTCGACTTTTGACCTCCCAGCTCCGATCCTTGCCCCTGATCACAGTGTTGGAGACCTGACCACCTCCAGACCTTCCTGGTCTCCTTTCTCCGACCTGACAGCCCAGCCCCTCCTGGGAGCCCTGGGGGACACCAGCTCTTCCCCTTGGGGTGGGGTTGCTAACAACTCCTGCTGGGGCCCCTTTGTGGACCCAAGTCCCAGGCTGCCGGGGGCGCACGGCAGGGTGGCCACTTTCCCAGGAGCCTCCGCCTCCCGCCTGGCCGTCACCACTTCCCACCCGGCGGCACCGCCAGCACTGCCCTCCCACCGCCGAGATCAGCTGCCACCCAACAGGGTCATATTCTCGGGGTTCCTGGGGAACCGGGCCTCCTGCCTGCCCCCCAAAGAGGAAGGAGGAGCGTGTGGGGCAGTGGCAGTGTCCACAGAACAGAAAACCATTGTGGACACCATGGAGCTAAAGTCATAGTTCAACTACTTCCCAGCGGTGTCAGCACCGCACACTTGTCATCAAGACCAAGAACCCAAAGGGACTCACCAACCAGGTGCCACCGGGCACAGTCGCCAGGCCCCGAGTGGGGG